CTGAGTATTTGGAGGGGAAAACATACATAGCCACATACATAGCCTATGTTAGAATCATACCTGGTTGTCTAACCACTAAGCTACCTGGCAAGGCCTATCCAGGCTCACCTTACATTTTCCCTGCCTCAGTCCTAGAATCAATCAATTCTCCAAGGATTCCTTTTATTGATATTTAGAAACCAGGCCTGGGTGCTAGGTATGCTCATTGCTACTGCAGTATCACTGCTTTAGCCACTTTCAGCGGAGAGCTATATATATGTACACCAAGTCATGCATCTCCACACTTTCTATCTATATTTTTATCGATCTACCTAAGCATGAGTCCATGTTGATCCCTCTGATTTCCATCTTGCACCAGAGGTTTCATTCTATCCTTCCCCTTTCCTGATTTATCACTTCTTTTTCTGATGTTAGAAACCTGACTCTCATTATCTACAATATATTTATTTACTTGTCAGTTCAACCCTAGTTCCCAAGTAAAGTAGTGAGAACTCTGAGAGAAACAAATTTACAAACTAGGGTGCTTTGTTTGTATGGGGTTCTTTTTGTCTTCAACCTTACAGTATAAAATCAATACCTGCTTTATCAAGGTCAGCTCCTTTCTTCCCATTCCCTTCAGTTAGATTTATTTGTCACAGTCTGCATTTCCTCCCATACCCAGGTTACTTTAAAAAATAAACCAACCAACAAACACGACATACAGTAAAATTTATGGTGTACAATTTTATAGGTTTTGAAAAATGCATAAAACTATGAGTTGAACATCACAGTTCCATGCAGGACAGTTCCCGATTCCTTAAATATTCCCCAAAATATTCCAATGGCAACTTTAATTCCACTTTCCCAGCACCAACCAGGAGGTGGCAGGGTTTCCCTCTTAGAGGAAGCCTTTACCAGGCAACTGAGCCTGCTTGCGAAGGGGCTTGGCAGGCAGCTCCTCCCATCCCTCCCATCCCTCCAGTCATCTGGCTACGGTTACAAAGGTTAAGAGGTTAAGCTCCTTCTTTCCTAAAACAGGTGAGTTTGGCTGGAAGCCTCAGAATCTCACACGCCAACCGAAAAGCCAGATGATTCATCTTAGTCAAGAAGGCAACCCACAAATATGCTTTGATAAAATCTTCACAGTGAAACAAACAAAACCCCACCAAAAATCAAACAAAAAAATTTTTTTCACAGTGAGGGTAACAAAGGGAGATAAAAAAAAATTAGAGAACAATACCAAATCAGGTGAAGGTGGGCAGATGACCACAAACTCTCTTCAAGACATTTCTTGTTTGATATTGGTGGCTGGTGTGGACACCTCACAAGGTGATCTGATCATAAATTCCTAACTGGGAAGGTCATGGTGGGTAGTCACGTCCCAAGCATATTACTTCTTTAGTAAAAGATTTATCTTTGCCTTAAGCAAGCCCTGTCCATTGTTTCTATGCATCTAGGTTACCACACCTTTGAAATAAACTACCCTCAAGAGAGTACATAATCTTATCTACCCTGTAATTCAATCCACATGACCACCCAGAAGACAGCGCATAATTTTAACTGCCCTGTAATCTTCCTTACATTCCCTTCTCAATCTCAAAATTCGTAAAAGAAAAGCAAACTGTTGTTCTACAAAGCATTGATCTCTCTCAGTCTGATATACCTGCTTCCAGGTATATTCTCTTTCTGGCTCAAATAAATTTTTCTGAAAATTCTCTATAGATTTGGCCATTCTTACGTTGACACCACCATTAAACTAATATCTGGGGTAAATCATTTTACCTTCCTAAGCTGCACCTGTAAATTGACGGTAATAGTTAATAAGAGGGTTGGTTGTGCGTATGAGATAATACATAGAAAGTGCAGAAGAGTTTCTGGTACACACAGTGCTCATAAATATTAGTATTATAAATAAATGATTTAAATTTATCTCAGTGACCTTCTATATCTTTTACCTTTTTTCATAATGGCCAAATTTTCAAAAGGTTCTTCTTACCCCACAAACAATAAAAAAAAAGCAGTCTGGCTCTGGCCACTGTTGCTCAATGGTCAAAGCACTGGCCTAAGGACCAAATGGTCGCAGGTTAGATTCCTTGTTGCTGGTTTGCTCCCTGCCCCGTCTGGGCATGTGTGGGAGGCAACCAGTCGATGTGGTGCATATTGATGTTTCTCTCTCTTTTTTTCTCTCTCCCTCCCTCCCTCCTCCCTTGTACTCTCTCTGAAAAGCAATGGAAAAAATATCCTCAGGTGAGGATTAACAACAACAAAAAAACCCACAAAAGACAATCTGGATGCCTGAACTCATTAATGCTATAGATCAATTTCATCAGTTCACTAAATCAGACTAACCCCCACCCCTGCATACTAATGAATCCCTAACACCTTGCTGGGTACTTTTTATACATTGTCACATTAATTCTCTACAGAACTCTGAAAGATTAAGTATTATCAGACCATATTACAGGTAAGATTACTGAGCATCAGAGATACAAAACAAACTAACTGCCCAAGGTCACAGAGCTAGTCTGTCACCGACCTCTGCCTCCAGAGCCTCCATTCTTTCCACTGAACTACTCCTCTCCACCATCCATGAAAACATCCTACAGTTGGGACACTGGCCCTCTTCTGTATCCAAGTTCTCTTTGGGCGATTTCTACCCACTAACAAAGTCTTACCACTTCTATGCCAACAACTCCATCTTGCAGGCAGGGCTTTTCACCTCAGTTCCAATTCTAGATGTCCAATTTCCTTGGTGGACATCTGTATGTGTCCTTCTCGGGTACCTCAAACCCAGCATTATCAAGGCCAACATTATGCTCCACCTTGCTTTTTTAGCCTGACTTTTTTTCCTGGGAGGATCAGTACTATTTTTAAAAAATATATATTTTTATTGATTTCAGAGAGGAAGGGAGAGGGAGAGATAGAAACATCAATGAGAGAAAATCATTTACTAGCTGCTTCCTGCACTCCCCCTACCGGGGATCGAGCCGGCAAACTGCGCTGCACATGTGCCCTGACCACGAATGGAACCATGACCTCCTGGTTTATAGGTCAACACTCAACTACTGAGTTACTCTGGCCAGGCGGGAGGGTCAGTACTATTAATCCAAATCTTCAACTTCAACTTTTGCTGCTGCCTAATAGCCAGTATGTCACCAGCTCCTACCAGATGAGCTTCTCCCACATCTCCGCCCCCACTCCCCCCTCAAGTCTTTCATACCTTTCTTTTCACTCTCTAAAAACTTTCAAGGTGACTTTTCTTCTTCCCCCGCCCCAAACCATTCTTCAAAGCTGCCCTCTGGATAAATCCTCTTACAATACCCGTTAATTTTGGTCATCTCTAGCTAATGACTCTTAGGAAGCTTCCCAACAAATCCCAAATTCTTCACCAACATGGTCACAGACTCCTGAGCATACATAGCCTCTGAGTTTGCCATGACTCTAACAAACAAAATGATATCACATTCAGAGGACCCACTACCTTCTTATCTTTCATCAAAAATCCCCGCTTCCTGTTATCACACACCCTGCGAGAAGAACTAGTGGAAGAATATGAACCCCAGTTAGCACTTGATTGTTAACTGGGGTCTTGCTACATGAATCCTGTGCATTCATTCTCACAGAATCCTTAACGTCTCACCAGTCTTTATCCCCACGTAGTCTGGGAGGTCCCTGTAGGCAGTAACGGTGTCAGATTCATTTTTGGGTTATGAGTACACAGTACAGGGCCTGGCATATAGTGCAGGCTTGGAAATGAATAACTCCAAGGCTTAAAGCTGACACTAAAGGTAAAGTGATGGATGAAGGGTGGATAGTAGAGCCACAAGCACCACTCACCCTTCCGGTTCATCCCCATCTGGAGGCATTTGAGTAGGCGGCAGTACTGGCACCTGTTCCTCTGCTTCCGAGACATGACACAGTTCTTGTCACGGCTGCACCGATATACCCGCTTGTTGCAAATGCTCCGCTTGAAAAACCCTTTGCAGCCCTCACAGGAGATGATTCCATAGTGCAAGCCTGTGGCACGGTCCCCACAAATGAGACAGGTTCGTTGTTCAGCCCGATCATCTGGAACAGAAACTGAACATATTCAAGTTAGAATACAGTGGGAATAATGGCTTTAAGCCTGCTGTTCTAAAACAAAGAATGCTGCTCTGGATAGATCAAGAACATTACCGTCTCCAGGATAACTGACAGACGGGCATCTTTAGAACCCTTGTCCTAGGAACAGATCCCTGCATCTACCTGCAGATACCATAAATACAGCCTATCAGAAAAAAGAACTTGTGCTCCTCTCCCTAGTTTTCATCATCACTTGGACCAATATCCAAGTCAGAACATGGAGATATCCTTGACTCCTCCCTCTCTCTTAGCTTTTTCAGCCACAGCTCATCACGTTTACCCTTTGCTACAGTCTTCTAAATCTTAGGAACAAGCTTTAGAATTTTTTAAAAATCAGAAATTATTCTAGTGCAGGAACTAGCATATTAAGTTTCATTCTTTCTAATTTTAAAACTCCTGCTGAGATAGGGTAAATGCAGAACTTGGTTAGAGTCTCTATGATGTTTTTTTCAGAGGTTGGAGTCTCTATGATGTTTTTTTCAGAGGCAAAAAACATCAAATCCAAAGAAATAATGAAAACAATAAGGCAGTTGATATGGTTGGCCTAGAAGATTAATAACAACCTGAACCAGGTCCAGAGCCCTAGCAACAACTTTGCAGAGCATCCCTGACATACAGCTGCTCAAAGTAATGGAAGTTCCATCTCTACATTATTTAGCAGGAATAATAAGTAAATGAGAACAAAAATATTTATAAACAAATCTGGTCACCAATCTGACCAGAATTTTACAATTCTTAAGTTCTTGTTTTATAAAAGTGGAAGGACTCCTTAGTTATAACTAACCAAGGTTACATTGCAGGTTAAGTCTCAAAGAGATTATTAACAGCAACTTCTGAGACCATGATTGCTACAGAGAAAATGCTCATTTCATTTTATTGAATGAATGGACAAGCTATATATATAAAAGCCTAATATGCAAGGCGTCCCCTTGGGAGTTTGACCGACCAGAAGTTCGCTTGTTTGCTTTGATGTGTGCTAACCACTAGGGGGCAGCATGGAATGACAGAAGGTCCCGGCCAGCAGCTGGCAGCCGGGGAAGGAAGGCCCCAGCCAGCAGCCACTAGGGACCCTTCCAGTGCACACATTTCGTGCACTGAGACTCTAGTAAATGAATAAAATGGTATGTGTAGGGCTTTCCAAATTACAAGTCATAACCCAGCATATCATGACTAGTATTTTTGGAAAAAATAGAAAATATCAAAGTAAATCACATGTAGTAAGGATAAAATATTGGGAAAACTTTCTTTCAATTAAGGTGTGTACATTTGTCAGTATATACATCTGTAGAAAGCTGGATCACTTCCTAGCTTTATAATCATGGACACATGATTCAATTCTCTAAGTCTCACTATCAACTGTAAAACAGATAATATTAGCACTCACCTCAGGAAGTTACTAGGGAGTAAATGATATAGACATACAATAGTACATAATTAACATATACCTAGAGCTTATTATGTGACCAGCTTTGTTCTATATGTGTTACATATAATAATTCACTCATAACTCTATAAGTGAATATTACTATTATCTCTATTTTGCAGATGGAAAACCTGAGCTACACATAGGTTAAGAATTATGGCCAAGATCCCATAGCTAGTAGGCAGCAGAGCCAGAAAAAGCAGACAGTTCTGCACCAAAATCTGAGATCTTTCACACTGCTTAATATAATGCCTCAGATATAGTAAATACACACTAAATGACAGTTGTGCTATTGTTATTCAAGATAGGTTTTCTGTAAGATTAGAACCTGATAAAAATTTGCAACATTGCTATAGACAGAGCAATTCAGACCATGGAATACTACACAGCAGTAAATATATTTGAACCACTGCAACAACAAAGATGACTCGTACAATGTTGGGTAAAAGAAGTCAGAAAAGCCGAAACTGGTTTGGCTCAGTGGATAGAGCGTCGGCCTGCGGACTGAAGGGTCCCAGGTTCGATTCCGGTCAGGGGCATGTACCTGGGTTGCGGGCACATCCCCAGTGGGAGATGTGCAGGAGGCAGCTGGTCGATGTTTCTCTCTCATCGATGTTTCTAGCTCTCTATCTCTCTACCTTCCTCTCTGTAAAAAATCAATAAAAGTATATTAAAAAAAAAAAAAAAAAAAAAAAGAAGTCAGAAAAAAATACTATAGGGTTCCATTTACATTAAATGAATCAAAACAAGCACAGAGGGGAAAGAAACAGTGAGGCAAGTGCTGGGGTGAAGAGGAGCTTTTGGATCCTGGCAATGTTCTACTTGTTGACTTGGGTGGTGCTAGCTTTATAATAAACCATTAAGCAGTACACTTGTGTTTTATGTACTTTTCTCTAAGTGTCGTATTTCACAATAAAAAGGTTAAAAAGAAAAGCTAGCAGGGCACTTCAGGAAAGGGAATGACATCATCCATAGCAAAAGGAAGGAAAACGAATATAAGGAGTGTTTGAGGGAACTGCACAGGATATTATCTATTACAGTTAAGTAGTGAGATCTTATGGAAGAACTAAAGGTCCATGCACTGGTGGGGTCCCTCGGTCTGGCGGTCTGGCCTGTGGGGATCGGGCCAAAGCCAGCTCTCCAATATCCCCCGAGGGGTCCCAGATTGCGAGAGGGCGCGGGCCAGGTTGAGGGCCCCACAGGTGCACCGTGCACCGGCCGCTAGTATGCATACAAGATCTTTGGTTAATCTCTTCCTGCCCTCCCTCGGCCCCTTTGAGATTCATCAGTCTGTTCCATGTTTCCATGCTTGTGCGTTGAGCGTCTGACCCCTGGTGGTCAGTGGGCGTCATATCTACCAGTCGAATGGTCACTTGGGCTTTTATATCCATAGACTAGTGACCAAGAGCGCAAAATTGCACGAGACCCAGGATCCAGAGTCCTCGGCTTGGCAGGACCCAGAAACCCGCCTGCCACGCCAGTGGGACCCAGAAACCCACACGTACCTCTGGTTAAGTCCTCCAGAGTCAAGTCCCTGCCCACCCACGTGCCTCGCCACGCACGCAGCCCCGCCCAACTGTACGTGCCTGCTGCGCACGCAGCTTCCTGGTGATTGGTCATTACGGTGTGATGACCACAGGCTTTTTATATATAGGATGGTCAGAGATAAGTCTAGAAAAGTAATTTGGAATAGACTGCAATAGAATTTACCCTACTCATAAAAAGCTACTGAGATTTTTAAATAGAGATATGTCTAGAAAAAAGTAAGATTAGGAATATTAATCTCACAAAGATGTGCAGATGGATGGCATGGGCCATCTAGGTTCCAGAGGGGGATGGAGAGGAGGAGGAGGAGATAGGAAAGTGTCAAAAATAAAATGGAGTTTCTAAACCAAGGTGGCTATGAAAAATGTGGTATCACTAATAAAAAAGTTGAAAAGCAACAGCTCAGTGAGGGACAAAAATCAACGACTTTAGTTTAAGAGAGGATGATGAGTGAGTCAAGCAGAAATATCCCATAGGCAGTTATTTAGGGGGCAATGGTTAAGGCTGGAGTGAAGGATTTGGGAGTCATCAACACATGGAATAGCTGAAACAATGGCAAATACTCCAAGAAGGAAGATGAGTGGAGAAGCAGCAGCAGGATGAAACCTGAAACGAAGAGAAGGGAAGGGGATAGGTTAAAGAAGGAAAGTGAGATGACATGATCAAAGAAGAAATCTAAACTAATAAAAGAGAAAAATGGTAATTGGCGTACGACGCTACCCTTTTCATTGGCTAATCAGGGCTATATGCAAATTAACTGCCAACTCAGATGGCAGTTAACTGACAACAAAGATGGCGGTTAATTTGCATATGTAGGCACAATGCAGGGAGGTGAAAGGGAAAGCAGGAAGAAGCCCCCTGCCACTGACA